GCAAAAACCTTTATAGCTTATTCTGGGACAGGAAATAACTGCAATGATTCATTCCAGGATGGCTGTTGAGTTGCGACACTTGCCTCAAGAGGAACTTGGATTGCATTTACCTAACTTTACATAAATTTGCACATAAATCTTCAACGTTTTTTCCATCTCTTAAAAGTATTATCAAGCTACTCGCATGCAGAACTGTAGCAACAGGAAGCTTGAATCCACAACGTCAACCTGCTAATAACACTAATCAGTCACAATAGTTCTCAGAACTATTCATACCTCCACAGTACTTACACTTTAGTTTTACATAATTAAATAAGAAGTTATAGGAGAGGCAGAAAGTTATCACAACTAGCACCACCTTTCCATCATCTCCACTGTAAATAGGACGACGTCAGACAGGTTATTTAAAATACACCCTTATGACACAGACTCCTGCCTTATAACTGTCTGCAAACCACTTCCCTCTTTGGAGCAGTTAATATTCCCACTAGACTCTCTCTACTTTCCTTTAAAGGTCAGTACTGTCAAGACATTTTGCTACTGATCAATGGCACCTATGCATGTGTTAAAGTTCACTAAAGTCAGAACTTATAAAAAAAACAACAAATTGAGCAGATTTACTGTGCCCATTTCATTAAATTAATGAATTTTGATGTGAGGTATGAACATTTTGAGCAGCAGCAACACCAGGCACAAACTGCAGCACAAAAAAATGGCAAAAAGATATGTATATTAAAAAGATTAAAAAGAGATATCAAAAGGAAAACCAATTCCCTCATGACATTGTAATTGAGTTCCAGGAACAGAGTGATCATATTGAAAGCAACAGAGACTTCAGTCATTTTGTCTGATACAGTCTTGTTAAGTCTACAAATAACACGCTTTTTGCCATCAAAGAAATATCAAAGATTATACAAGTGATAATGATATAATCACTTAAGGATTTTTTCCATATAGTAGCTGTGATGACACCATATAATAGTCAGCAAGACATGAAGGAACATGTGCAGCCACACTTGTTTAAAGAGGCAAGTGCTTCCTGATGCAACAGAAGGAAAGATTGAAATTTAAACATTTGACTCACCGTGCACTGAGGGAGCAGGAGCGACAGAGTCAACTCACCTTCTTACTCTCTTCCATCTCGTGCTCAAACATGGCACTGAACACCGGCGAGCGAGCTGGGACAGAGAGAAACAAAAGGCCGAGACAGAGAAAAGAGGGTTTGTTATTGAGTGTAATGTTGATACACGGTGAGGTCTCTGATATCCGTTAACAGCTTGCCACAGGGCCGGAGGAGAGCAAGGACATGACTGACAGCAGTGACAGCAGTAGAGGCATCATGTGGAAAAAGTCAGCTCCTTTCTGCTGACAGACTCTTGACAGCCTTTCTCGTTTGTTTAGCCAGTATTCAACGTTGATGGGCCGACTTGAGTGTTGCTTATCTCATATATTATTCCCTAATAAAGATCTGTTTTCCTCTTTTAGTTGCACTTTCACTTGCTACCACTCAACTGCTATTTCTTTTTTTCCCCCCTTTCTTAGATATAGTTTTTCACACGGCTTTTGCATCACAGCACAGTCTACAAATCCTCTCAAGGAAAGTTCAGACTATTCTTCCATTTATAGAAAGTGATAAGCCGTGAGAGAGAAACAATGTAAAAGAGCTGCTGGTTATTTGCCAAGTCACAACAAGAAACAAAGAGGGTTTGCAATGAAAAATGTATTCTTATAATCCAAGTTCACACAGATTTCATATTGTATATTTTGCTAAAGACATTTTTGCACATTTTGACAATCTCCAAAATAACAAAGATAAAGTCTAGTAGGAAAAAAAGAAGCAAAAGCAATGACCCAATGGCCCTAAAATGGACATATTAATGTATTTAATGTTTTACGTATTTAGTGAAAGCTTAAGCACAGTGTTTTTCCACTGTTGTTATCCCAGACGTGACCCCAGCTGGAGAGGTCATGCTTAATCTCCAGTACAGGCAGAACATGACGGCCCAAACAGAGCTCTTTAAAATTTCAAATTACTGCTGTCTAATAATTCTGCAGGCTTAAAATACTCAACGCATCTTGTCCCTGTAGTTCTGCTTAAGGCAACAACACTGTATTTTCTCTCTTGTCGTCCCAGTGGTGACAGTGGTTAGTTTTGGCACAGAATAAAGCACAGCCTCACAGATGGAGCTTAGCCTGTACTTGATTTCCAGCTACTGTTATTACTAGTAGAGTAAGAATGTGTTCCTACAAAGGTAGACCTTGGCCTTTTACTCAGAGTCGCATATATACTATAGCCATGCTTTTCTGACATGGTTCGCTTAGTTTGATTATGCACTGAAAGGGTAACAGTTCACATTATTATTCAGAAGTGAATGCCTTATTAGCTAGTCATTAAAATCTAACAAATGTTGTAACACATTATTAAGTATGTGTCAAAGTCAGTGATATAATAATTAATTCAGACACTTAATAATGAGTTATTAACGCAAAGCTATCTAACCATTTAATTACTCATTGGGTTACACGGTCTCATCCATTAAAACTGCCAAAGCCACAAATAGCTATAATACTGTATAACTGAATAAGCATTAACAATGGACACTGAGGCTATAAGGTCAGAAACTCACTCGCTACAGGAGAATCTCAAATCCACTAAATAAAATGGCTAACACTAAGTCCCTTAACATTTTCATACATGTTACTTACGACACATTTAGAGTTTTAGCAAAGGTGGGACATTGGAAATAAATGGTGTTCATTTTAGTTACTTAAGTTGTCACAGTCATTTTACTATAGTAGAGAAGATAATTTGATGAGAAACAGACAAAATCTTAATCTTTGAAGTCCCATTGCCACAGGTTTATAAAAAGAAAAAAATCAAGCACCAAGCACTTATTTTGTAAGCGTATGGGGCATTCTTTAATAATAATGCAAGTCAGTTTTCAAATTCAAATTCAAAGCTTCCTTTAACATCAGCACAAAAACTGCAACAGGAGTTTCATGGCATGTGTTTCTGGGGCTGAGCAGCCAGTAGGTGTAATGAGTAGGCGGTCCAGAACTTCTTCTGATACAGTGTAAAAGTTTGTTCAATATCAAAGGAATTGCTCGTGTTCTCACACCAGTGAAAATGTTGAAACATTAACTAAATGATGGATAGCATCTTAACTATCAAGCTTGTTTAGTTGATAATGGAAATTCACATAACCTTCAAATATTCCTATTCTCCCGTCTCTTAGGAAGGATACTTCTTTTGTGTATATATGAGGTAAGACAAGCTAGCCACAAAATGTTTTTTGAGCAAATTAAGTTTTCAGAGAGTCTTGCTGTCCACAGGATATTAAGAAGTGCCATGTTAAAGACTTCAGCATACTTTATCCATTATGTATATGGATCCATAACTGAAGACGTAGTACTAATATCAGTACTCTTAGATGAAGTTAGAAAGTGTGGTCCTGTTACGCTTCAATGACTTGATCGGGAGTCCGCCTAGCCTAGACATTCTCTCTGTCTTAATGTCTGCATGGAAACTAAGCTTTGCACTGAATGGCCTGGTAGGACTCTGGGAACAAATCTACACCAAGTCTGTCTGGTGCAGCTGGTGAGCTCATACTGCAGTAGCAAATCGAAGGGGTGGGTGAGAGAGAGAAAGAATAAGGAAGAGGTCACAGTAAAGAAAGCATGGAGAGGAGAAAGGAAGGAAGGAAGAAGAGGGATGGACATGGGGAGAAAGCGGAACTGAGCACAATTTAAGGGGAGAGAAAAGCATGAAAACCACTAGGAAGACATTTAACAATCAGAAAGGCGCAGATAAAAGACAGGGAAAAGGAGATAAGAAAAGAATACAGTCAAAGGAAGATAATAAAGAAGAATAAAGAATAAAAAAGGAGCAAAAAATAAAAAGCCTGAGTGAAAGAGAAAGAAGAAAAGTAAGAAATGTAGAAGCGGGTATAAAATTAAGGTAAGCGACGGGAAGAGAGTGAGTTGTACAAAGATCACATGGCCAATGCACAGCCAATTTGAGTTACTCTCCCTACGCCGTTTGATCCCACTCTGTCCGTCTCCACGGCGATTAACGGACAGCAGAGTTGTCACGGGAACAGCCTAGAGGGGGAGTAACGCGGAGGAGGTACGTCATCTGGACTGAGCGGAGAGAGAAAGCACGGTAGCAAGAGAGAAAGGGGAAGACCCCAAACCACAGCAGCACATAATTAAAATGGCTCCTCACACACACATTTCAACAAATCCAATAATGAACAGCCTCCCCTCGTCTCCACAGAGACACACAGTTCACCAGTTTCTTCAAACTTTTCACTAGCTGATGCTGGCTGTCATCAAAGTGCCAATATCTGAAACAAGTTTATGCTTGTCTGCGTGAGAGTGCGAGAAACTTTATTTTCATCAATATGGATTCCTGAAGGCCAATGAAGACACACAGGTGCTGAAGGTGTCAATAGCGAATACGGATATTCAATGTATTCAAATTTAATCATCCCCGTGGCGAGCAAAATTATTCATCAAAATTAAAAATTTGATGAAGTATTTCCCCCAGAATTTAGTTCTCGTCACAGTGGAAAAGCCTCTGTAACAGCATTCACACCGAAACGAAAACTCTCCAGTGAAGCCTAGAATAATGACAGACTCCTCTATGAATAATAACAAACTCCACCACCCTCATAAAACTTTGAATTCAAAGTATTTTAATATAAACGGTGGATTAGAGTGCAATGTCAATGAACTACTTTTTCATCAAATTTTAATATTTCAATTCAATCTAAATACAGACCAATTTTAACAAAGGCATTAGGTGTTATATTCTTTACCATCAGAGTAAATAAAAGAATAAAAGAAACAAGGTATATATAAAATAAAACAGACCTCACTTAAATGAGGCCCTTTTTCCCCATTCGAGGCCACTTCTTTGTGTACCAATGGACCACTTTACATTTGGTTCTGACTATTTGCACTTGTGCATCTGCAATCTCACCACTGAATCCAAACCTGCTTAGACAGCAAACCTGAACTTCTGTGTCAAACTGACCTAGCATATATTGAGGGGCAGCAGTATGGCTTCATGCCGAGAAAGAGCACTACAAGCGCGATGTTTGCTTTGAGAGTGTTGATGAAGAAGTATAGAGAAGGTCAGAAAGAGCTCCACGGGGTCTCTGTAGGCCTTGAGGAAGCATATGATAGGATGCCAAGAGAGGAACTATGGTACTGCATTAGAAAGTCAACAGCAGCAGAGAAGTATGTGAGGGTGGTGCAGGACATGTATGAGTCAAGCAAGCCACTGGTGAGGTGTGCAGTAGAAGTGTTAAATATGGAGCTGCCAGACAGAAGTAAAAGAGGAAGACCACAGAGAGGAATCATGAAGTAGGACATGCGAGTTGGTAAAACACATATGACATGCTAGGGCCATGGTGAGATGGAGGCAGATGAGCTACTGTGGCTCCAAATAAAGGGAGAAACTAAAGAAACGGAAGCAGCAGCAGACTGGTGATGGCAGGTTTGTGGCTGAGACCAAGAGACCAAACAGCAGTAAGTCTGAAGGGAGAACTCAAGTCACAAGTCATTAGTTGACCGGAAACATGGTTCTTGTAGTCCATAATAACCTAAGGCATGGCAAAAATTTACCATAGCGCACCTACATCAGGCTTACCAAAAAGGCTGATTTGTGGGGGGCTACAACAACAACAACAGGGTATTAGACCCCCATTTATATCAATGCAACTTCATCCTCTTCTTTAAATTAAATTCAACTCGGGGGTGACCATCTTCATACAAAGAGGAAAAGAAGGCAAGCACCACAAACGTGATAAATGGTCAGAACTTCCAGGAAAGAATTTAAAAGGACACGTTGAAAGTGGTAGAGAGCTGCCCAAGTAAATAATCTTGAAGGAAGCATCATGAATTTAAATCAGATGTGTTTTTTGGACTGCATGTGCGACCATCAAACAAAACAAAAAAAGAGAGAATCCTAAAATGAATTTAATGCATCAGTGTTTAATGTGAAGTACTGTGCACAAAAACACATTGTCAAAAAGAAAAGACAAGTATACTCCTGGGAACAATCAACCAAATGTTGCCACTAGTCTAACAACACTAGCTGTTAGGATTAAAACAAACATTGCAAAGAAAGTTTGCCCATCGTTTGCCTATGGCATATCACTGTGTACTTTAGACAATGGTGTGATTGTTTTCTCAGCCCCCGCTGATTCCAAAGTCATATTGATGCAAAGTTTGATTAAAACAAGTCACTTGAATGTTCATAAAATGAACATGGCAGCTCCAGGCAACAATCAGTCATGTTTTATCTAACGGAAACCTCAGCGCTGTCAAATGAAGCCAACGTGTTGCAGTTTCTTAAAGGGGCACTTGTGGCTGGTTTAAAAAACAAAAATATACAGTTTGTAATACAATTATCTGACAGACGATCCAAGATCATTCTTCATGGGTTTCCATCAGGGTTTTTTGCCATTGCTTGGCAACTCAGTTTCAGCAAGTTTCAGCTCTGTCAATTAATTTTCTATAGGACTGAGGTCTGGAGACCGTAATGTGCTTCTTCTTTAGGCTCCACTCTCCCTCTTTTTCAGAATTATTGTCTGACAATCTTAACTGATAATTTGTCTCTCACCAATAGAATGAAACTACTATAAAAACTATACACGTGAAATAATTACTTCCCCTAATGTATGTATTATTGCAAAGAAGACATTAAAGTTGGACCACAAAAATTCTAAATGTCTTAATTTATTTATCAATCATAAACTTCATTAAAAGCATTTTATCTTCACAGACAACACAAAGCAGTAAGTGTATTGCTTTAAACAACGTTTCCAGCTGGGTTTTAGCACCTGAAGGCTAAATATAAAGCTGTAGCAATAACCTCTTACACATGTGACAAAGGATATTCTCACCTGCCAATATGGCTTTGTGTGCCTGGAATTTCTGGCCAGCAACACACAGGGAGCAGTCGGTGAATCTGGAGCTTGCCCACAGATCTCCAAGTTCTTCCGCCAGCCTGCAGTCAGGAACCCTCACCATGTTCATGGTGTTCTGGCCTGAGATATTCACCGAGTCTTGCACTACGCTCACCTGAAAAGACACACACACACACGTTTACAGATTACCCCCCCATGTCGTAAATTTTGTGCCCTTTTTATTGTGTAAATCGGAATAACTCGTTTTAGAGTGAATAGTTCCTTTAGCACACTGACTGGTTCACACAGAGGCAAATAAACAGCATGCAATGTTCATAAAAGGAAAATAAATCGGTAAATCAAACATGCTGTGAATGCTTAATGTGGGTTCACTGTCTCTGTAATCAATACACCAGCCACTCAGTATGGAAGTAATTTGAAGAAAACCTATTGTTCCTTCTTTATCAAATCAGACTGGCTACACTCCCAAACAATCCAAAAAACCCGCATTGAAGTCAAATTGGGAGTGCCAGTATGTGTGTGTGTGCATGAGAGTTGTCTGTATGTCTTCCCTGCTGACTTCACCACCTGTTCCAGACAATGTCAACCAGACTCATTTATCTCTCAACAGGACTCACTGCAAACACACACAAACAAGCAGGCTTATGAGCACAAACACACCCACATATTCACACACACACTAATTACTAAGTAATTTCCAACAGACTGGATTGACTGACTTGCAGTTTTTCACCTGCCTGGAGTGCAATCTAATCAAAGAGAAAAATTAGCTAGCTATAGCCTGGTTTGGAACATTCTGTAGTTGGTTAATTAATTAGTTAGTTGTCTGGCTTTCGTTTCATGACAGATTAGTCTAGTAATGACGAAGTCCAGAGTCATTCTAGCTAGCATCCGCGGAGTGAGGGTTAAACGGTGAAGGATTATTAACTTTGGTGTCAAAGAATTAATTTCAAAGAATAAAGAATATGGCTCATATTACCAATTATGATAAATTGTCAGTGTTCAACAAAGTCTCCTTTAGTTCACAACTTGTAAATGAATGTGTTTTAAATTGTCTAGCCGAGGGCTCAGTAAATTGTCAAATTAAGATTTTGCTAGTTTTCTGTTATTATAAGACATTAAGGCCATACTCCCCAACTGGGTTGCTTTCTTTTTCCTTTAAATTAGGCCTTTTAGGGTCAGGTAAGTTTACGGACACTGTAATGACACTATATTATGATTTTTTTGAAAAGAAGTGATCCCACTCGTAGTTTTTTATACTTGTAACCATTTGATTAAAGAAAATCTGAATCGTATTATTATTACTATTACTGTATTATTTTCTAAAATGGCACAATGGAACAGTGGTTAGCACAGTCACCTCATAGCAAGAAGATCCTGGGTTTGAATCCAGCCCGAGGCCGTTCCCTGCAGAGCCTGCATGGGTTCTCTCCAGTTAATCTGATGTCCTTCCACAGTCCAAAGAATGTATGGGGTTGGGTTAACTGGTCATTCTGAACTGGCTAAAGATGTAAAGTAAGCATAAACGATTGTCTGTCTTTGTGTTAGCCCTGTGATAAATTGGTGACCTGTCCAGGGTGTACCCTATGACATCTGGCACAGCCAAAACTCTGGATGGATAGATTCTAAACATGATTTCATTAGAATATTATTGATTTTCAGGCTAAGCACTCTTGCATTCAACAAAACACTATTCAAAGACTTCTGACATGTTTTTTCTATCAATTTAAATAAATGTATTTTGTCATAGCTGGCAGTATTGGTGGTGGATGGAAAATGAAATTTGCTGGACTTCAGTTACATTTAACACCACAATTAAGAGCTACGGGGCACCTGACACCTGATAAATAAAAGGACGCTTGTTCTCCTGTTTTTCTCGCTGACACCTTCGAATAGCTTTCAGTAAACTATTGTCAAGAACAAGGCCAAAAATCCCAAAACATCCCACAAAGTGACCTTGCTGTTAAAGCATCAGCAACTGAGGCTGACACCCAAAAATCCATAAAAAAATAAATAAATAAACTAAATTACAGCCCGGTTCCCTTCTCATCCATCCCCATTCAACCATCAGCCCACCTATTCGTCCAATGCCACATCCATCCACCTATTCAAAGAACACAAAAAGAGTCCTAGAAAAGGAGGAAAAGTGCATACAATAGAGAAGTACGTGGCAAGCAGGAAATTGAATGTCAAGGATCCTTGTTTGCTCCTGATGGAGGTTTGAGGGTTAGCCTGAAGGGGACAGAAAGACAGACTGATAATAAAACAGAAGAGTAAGAAAAGCAGGAGATTGGGGGGGAGGGGAGATATGGAGATAATAAAAGTGGAGAGAATACAGATGCAGAGATACCAAGCGACAGACAGACAGAATAGAGAGAAGCCATCACACACAAAAGAGCTAGGAGTGAGTGAGCCATTGGTGGGATCTACAGTTGAAGATGACCTCTCATAGTAGCAGCTCATTCCTGGTACAGAAATGACAGGGACAGTGTGAAGAAAATGTGACTATTCTGAAGAAGGAGAATTCAAAGTATTCCTGTGTGTGAGACAGTCTGGTTTCCACAGCTAGGCCTATTATTCACACTCCTAGGAGATGCAGGTTTGACTGACATATGTACATCTCAACACACTGACAGATGGGAACTAAAAATAAAGCCACATTCACACGAGAAAGAGACATTCCTGTGCACAGACTTTGGCATTCATAAAACACTGATTAGTAATACAGAAGGCCTGGTAGATAGGGATTTGCTTTGTATAAGGGAGGAACAGGAGGAAAAACAGAAGAGAGAGACAGACGCACAGGCAAAGACAAAGAGGGCGGAGGACAGAAGTTCACTGAGCTCAAGCTGGAATGAAAAATGGCTTTAGGAGGAGAAGAGGAGGAGAGAGGGGAGAGTCCAGAGCTGTGTCCTGAGTACCCACTGAATAAAATAAACAAGTGCTGAAAAGCGAATTGGAAGGGAAGCCTGGAAGCTTGGTCCGTGCGTTTCGGTATAAATAGCCCAATTAGTATGGTGGAGCCGTCGTCGGGCTTTTAGATGCAGTGTGGCAGAGCCGGTCTAATTACTGGCTAACTTGACCAATTATTTCACTGTTTAACCAGGCAGAAACTAAATCGCAGCACCTGGTTATTTAGATACACTGGCTGCCCAGACAGTCTTCACACCATTAGCTGTCATCTTCAGTCATTGTCAGCTTCCTCCTGCTTGCATTTTCCCACTCGAAAACAATTCTCATAGTGATTGAGCAGACAACATTCCTAACCATGTATACACTTGATCTTAATTCAGTCTTACAATAAGTATACTTTGTCATCTTAAGCCTTCACTTATTTTAGTAGAGATGGGCGAATGCTTTGTGATGAGTTATTTGTCACCTGACAACAAAAATGTAAGTCCTCCCAAGAAAAAGGCATTAGTGTTCAACATCTTAATAAATGTCAAAAACACATATACAGACTGTGTGACTCTTTCGCATCGAGATTTCCTCAGTGAAATTATAAACTCCACTAACAGACGGTATATAAAGATGAACGTAGCCTCCAGGTCTGTGAAGCCAATGCATTAGTGAATTAAATCCTCATCGTTTCCAAGCAGGGGGTGAGTCCCTTTATAGAAGTCTGAGGACACAATCGTGCTCCTTGCGTGATTTATGGGTTTTATTGTTAGTTTCTAGTTTTTTTTTCTTAGTACAGCATCACATTAATTTTCTAAGTTGTACTCCCCACCTAGCAGTTGACAAGTACCAACTGTATGAAAGCTCTCAGTCACATCACATCCGGCTTCAGCAAAGCAAAAGCTCAGGTGCAGGCTTCAAAACAGCTGGATGATGTCACACTAGTTGTTTTATATGTTTTTATATGAAGTCCAACTTATTATAAGAGTCACAGTCATGACATCCTCCCATCCTCATATCGTTTTTAATTAATATTAGATTGTTCAGGAAGACGTGTGGAGGCATCCCGGGTAAATGTACGCTAACGGAAATGTAAACTTTGCTCGCCAGAAAGAAGTTTTTCTTTAAAGATACCTCAGTAATGGAGCATTAACTGAATGTTGGTCAATATCACAATTTTAATATCGACTTTGATTCTAAAGTTTGAGTTTTGGTGTCAACGAGGTCAATAAGAATGATCCCTCAGAGGAAAACTCCATAGTAACTCTGCCAGCAGTGCAATTCAATGCAATGAAAGAACTGAATTAACCAACCAACCAACTAAATGATTGACTGCTTTGTATTTATTACCCAGTAGTTATACTGATGATTATCATGATGATGATGACGACAGAAACCACTTATGTATACAACCTTAGGTAAGAAAATAACAGTAATGAAGAATCATTGCAGCTATATCACCACAATCATCATTTGTTTTGGTAATTAAGTTCCAGAGATAAGTACTTACTAAAGCGCTTGCCTCCCAGTTAGTTCCTCAGACATCAAGATGAATCTCATTGTAAACCCTCCAGGCAACGCAGAGTTAATATTGAGTTTCAGCACCCAGATGATTTATTCATAATGCATCAATCTTTTTCTGCCTGTTTATGTGTTTGTTTATGGATTTACAGTGTTTTGCCATGCGTGAAATAGTTCGAAAAAGGGAAAAAAAAAAAGAGATTCAAATCAAATGAAATTCATTAAGTTCTGGAACACTTGTTCCTTTACCTGCCAAGACTCATTTTCTCGGTGCAGTCCTTTGCATTCACAAACACGTAAACATGGGCCGAGATGACGGACGAAGCAGACGGACATATGGACAGATGCATGCATACATACACTCACCTCAGCAAACTACACACTTTCTCACACATATGACAGGACACTACTTGCTGCTGATGTATTATTTTTAAAAAAGTGTAATTTCCTTCTTTCTGTTTTTTTTTTTTTTACCATAGATAATTTGCATAAATATTATTTGACTTTCCACACAACATAGTTTTAATGACCTGCTTTGAGTGAAGGCAAACTTCTAACCTGAAGAGGTGCTATCTAGACAGACAGCACTCAGGATGAGAATAAATATCCACTAGTTCTATGCAAAATAGAATTCCTTTATGCTGCTTTCTCCCAGACGTCCTCACCACACATTTTCATGACTGTCCTTCCGATTCTTTCAAACTCTTTACTTCTGAGATCATTAAGGATGTCATT